AGGCCCTTTCCGCCGACCGGATCTTGGGAGACCCCAGGGTCCGTCGCCTCGTCTCCCATAGGGAGGCCAGTACCGCCCGCGTTTGGCGGTCGGCCCCTCCTGTGCCCCGTGGGCCAAGCCCGCGGGCCATTTCCTTCCGTCCTCACGGGGCAGGCGGGCCCCCCCATACGGTGGCCCGCCTCCCGGCCTTCTTCACGGCACACCGCGCAGGAGACACCCTCCACACAGTCCCGCGCGATGTGCCCCGCCTGGCCACAAGCCGGTAACACAAGCCGCTCCGGTCCACAGACGCAAAGCAGGCCGCCCGGATGTGGCCGGGCCTCCAGCACTTGTGGCACTGAAGCGGGCGGGCCGCGAGCATCTCAACCCGCGCACCCGTCCACCCCAGCGCCACCAATCCCTCCCTGGCCACAATGGCCGCGGCATCGAGGGGGAGCCGCGCCCAGACCACGCCGACTCCCTCCCCAACCCCTCCTAACAGGGCCCGTCCGCACCTCTCCAATCCCGCAACGTCCGCGGGCCGCGAGGGTGTGGGATATTTCGTCGGGGAGGACCGACTCGTCGATGCCGACGAGCCGTATCTCTCCCCAACTCCTCGGCCTTGTAACCAAGGCGCCTGGGAGCGACGCCCTGATCCTATCTGCCAGGACGTCCGCTCCACGGCTCCTTCCCTCCCTGTCGGGGCCGGCCAGCCCCAAGAGGAGGCCGCCATTTGCGGCCCTCCTCACAAACGCCGGCCGAACCCCAGCATCCCTAAGAGGGAGCTCCTTCACTTTGCGGAGAGCCTCCGCATATGTGAGGCTCACCGCGCCTTCCTCCAGGCGGACGTTAATCGCCGCCGTCGTCGGCGGCACCAGCGGCATCAAGAATCTCGGCATCGCCGGGAGCACCGAGTCCAGCCCTACCTCATCGGCCGACCCAGGGCCCCTCTTCCTCCTGCTCCTGCCTCCGCCAGCCGCGACCCCCCAAGGGGGCCGCGGCGGGCCCGGCGGCCACGAAAGACCCCACCCCACCCGGCGGCCACCGCCCGTCGACATATTGGCGCAGCGCCCTGCAGCGGGGACGTCGCCCTATCCTTTCGATCGGGCCGCACCTCCGGGAACAGAGACACGGCCCGATCCGTCATGTTCTTCTTCTTTCTCCCGGCGGATAGCTCCACGATTGTGCTCGCTGCCTCCTCCCGTTCCCTCATCCATCCCCTCCTTTCCTTATTCGACTCCTCCTTCTCTTCCTTCCATTTGCATTCTTTGCTTTCCCAGCCTTTCCTTTCGGCAGTCCACTCCTTCCTCTCCATATCTCATTTCATACCTTTGCTTTCCCATTCCTTCAGTTCCTCCTTCCTCCTATCCTTTGCATCCTTTCTTCTTTCCCACCAATCTTCCCATTCGCCAATTCTTCTTTCCAAGGCCTCGGTTCTACTTTTAAAGACCCTCGCGGTGTCCTCGCAGTACCTCCTCAAGTAATTTCCGTGCCCATTGATGGTCGTCCTTTCTGTCTTGCTCATTCTCTTGTTCCTTGTGGTATATTCCTCGATGAGGCTGGCACTTTCCCGGGCGAAATCCACCCGGGCGAGCACAAATTCCCGGTTCTTGCGCTCGTCCATCGGGTCCGGCCAGCCCTCACTTCCTTCCTCTTCCGACTCCGCTTCCATGTCTTCCTCTCCGCTTT